CATGAGACAATTGTATGACACGACAAAAAAACTCTCTGGAAATCGCCGCAAAGCAGAACGACCAGTGAAAAGCAAGGAGGGCGAGGTAATCACCAACATTGAAGAGCAACAAAACAGGTGGGTAGAGCACTTCAAAGAACTCTTGAATCGACCAGCTCCACTGAACCCACCCATTTTGGAAGCAGCACCCAGGGACCTCCCAATCAATGTTGGCCCGACAACAAATGATTCCATACGGGTAGATCGTGTACAGACCAAATCGCAACTCTTTGGATCATTGTGGAACAATCAATTGAATAGAATTCATCACTCTACATCAACTTCATGGGCTAGCAAAAGGCATGTGATAGCGTGGACAGAACAACACTATGGAGGCTTATTCGACACTACGGCGTGCCTCAGAAGATAGTCAATATCATACAAAATTCATATGATGGATTACACTGCAAAATTATGCATGGAGGACAGTTGACAAAGTCGTTCGAAGTGAAGACCGGTGTTAGGCAAGGTTGCTTACTCTCACCCTTTCTCTTTCTCCTGGTGATCGATTGGATCATGAAGACGTCAACATCTGAAAGAAAACACGGGATACAATGGACATCTAAGATCCAGTTGGACGACCTAGACTTTGCAGACGATCTGGCCCTTCTATCTCAAACGCAACAACAGATGCAGGAGAAGACGAACAGTGTAGCAGCAGCCTCAGCAGCAGTAGGTCTCAATATACACAAAGGGAAAAGCAAGATTCTCCTATACAACACAGAATGCACCAATCCAATCACAATTGACGGAGAAGACTTGGGAGATGTAAAAATCTTTACATATTTGGGCAGCACCATTAATGAACATGGTGGATCTGATGCAGATATGAAAGCGCGGATCGGTAAAGCAAGAGCAACATATTTACAACTGAAGAACATCTGGAACTCAAAACAACTGTCAACCAACACCAAGGTCAGGATTTTCAAGTTCTACTGTGTGGGGTGGAAACTTGGAGCACTACGAAAGCCATCATCCAGAAGATACATGTGCTTATTAGCAGTTGTCTACGCAAAATACTTCGGGTCCGTTGGCCGGACACTATTAGCAACAACCTGCTATGGGAGAGAACAAACCAGATCCCAGCAGAGGAAGAAATTAGGAAGAATTGCTAGAAGTGATTAGGACACACATTGAGGAAGGCACCCAACTGCGTCACAAGACAAGCCCTCACTTGGAATTCTCAAGGCCAAAGGATAAGATGAAGACCAAAGAACATAGTACGCCTAGAAATGGAGATAGAAATGAGAAAAATGAACAAGAAGTGGATGGAACTAGAAAAGAAGTTCCAGGACAGAGTGGGTTGGAGAATGCTGGTCGGCGGCCTATGCTTCAAAGGAAGTAGCAAGAATACGTAGTTAAGTATAAGTATCATGATGTAGCCAGTTTTTCAACAGGGTTGATAAGGTCATAAAAATTTGTTTCGGATAAATAGAGTTTGGGAGGAAAAATTTTTGAACATTGAAATGGTGATAAGAACTCATGGAGTTAACAAAAATTAGATTATTGTGTAACAAAGCAACTGGAAGTAAAATAATAGTAATAACGAAAGATATAAATTGAAATCGTAAGTAACTGGAAGAAGAAAACAATATGGTATGAATGAACAAAGAACCGTATAATTGAAGGTGTTTCAAAAAGAGGCTGAACGTATAGTATCGTGTGTAGTTTTAGAATATAGTACTGAAAACGGTATTCTGATACACGAGCAGCTATCTTTCTTTTCTCATCAAAGCCATTTCATCTCATTTTTCGTTTTTATGGATTTTATAGGGTCATGAGAGGTATTCATTTTAGCTAACTGTCCAGCTTTATTTGTAATAAGATTTTTCAGCAGGAAGTGAAATCAATTGAAGTTATCTCCCCGCCGTCATTTTTGCTTACCAGTTTGTGGGCTGAATGTGGAATGTTCGTATGCGACTCACAATGAACAAAGCACTCATGACCTTATTGATTTGTCAGTTAAACACAATAAAGCGAAAATGACATTGAACAAATGATTACAAAACATCTAACTATAGTGAAAGCTAACATAGGAACGAATTAAAGATAACTGCATTTATAAACTAATTACATATTTGGAAAATAACCTCGTTAAGGACAATCAAAAAATCTACAATTGTTTAATTGCAAAAAAGCACGACTAAAAGTAAAATCTACGCATCCGTGTTACTAAGTTTTGTGTCAAAATACTGCTGAAGCACAAAGATGTCAAACTGTGACGACTGGCAAGGTTTCGCCCTGATAGGAATACATCACCGAGAGAGAAATGAATTTAGATGAACTTCGTGTTATGAACGATTATTGGAAATAAAATATTGTTACCAAGGGATGTGCGGATTGAGTTTCAACAGTCTTCTCAGTGTTATTCTGCCACAAAAACTTGATACGTCTGCAAGAAACTAGTTGTCATCTCCCTACTGAGTTAATAAATTTCCTTTCCTTCCGACTGTTTACACATTCGATTTGTGGTGGCATTGGACCATAACCACACAATTCTCAAAGCTGAATACGAGACTACTCGGAAAATAGATATTCAAGATTTAACGCGAAGAAATACCTAACGATGGATAATGCGGGAACGAGGAGTTGAATTAATCGGAGTTGATCGAATGGCATGGCTCGGCGTTGCTGGCGTAGTCTTGGTTGAGTGTTATCTTATAGCTTTTATTCATATTAAGTATATTGTTCTATCTCTAGCCTAAACTTATTCTACATCAGTTGCGCATTCGCAACGCAACTTTCATGAAGCACGCCAACTGTAGTACTGACTAAAACCACCTACATTCGTATCTTAAAAATTATCAACCCAGCTATGTAATTTACTACAGTGGATATTGTATCATTTGTATCAATTTGATCTTGCCTGTAAACTGGCATGCCTCATGTAACAAACTGTTATTTGAGAATGAATTATTATTATTATTATTATTATTATTATTATCATGTATTGGTGATCGTTACGATACGATAAGTTAGTGTAGACGATGGTATGATTTCTACGTAAGATCTTATAGATAAGGCAGCTATATCATGACAAGTCTACAATTTTAGGACCATGTATATTATTAGCGCAGTACTAATATCATAGTAGACCATAATTCTACAGATTCACTTAAATTTATCTGAAAATCTTATGCGCTAAAACTCTCCTTACTCCCGAAACTCTTTGAACATTAGGTTTTCTTAAAAATTCGAAATGAACCCATAAGTAAAGACGTTATAGTGAGGCAGGCAATGGTACTGCCACTGATTACTATATTTTTGCCTGTACCATGAACAATTGAGCTACATGTATATAAATATGATCTGTAAGCATTGATAGCCATCATATTAGGGATCTTTTAGTACGTCATCTGATCAGGTAAGGATTATACTTGTGATTGGTGATCAAAGCCATGTAAGCAGATAAGTAGATTTAAATAAAAATCAAAAAGTCAATAACATTGATTGCAAAAATAAAGGCGAAGTTAGAAAAAGTGTTAATAACAACAAACCTATTTACAAAATAAATCCTTTTTAACCATTTTCACAAGAAGGCAATTAGGAGACGATAGAGACAAAAGAATGACTTATCAAGCTATAGGTTAGGATCGGGATATGCTTCAGGGTGATGTCAAATGCTCTAGTATGGCCGAAAGTGGGGTGGGCACGCCCTCTCTCTTGAAACGCTCTCACACGGCCACGCGTATACAGCCTCTGGTTGCAACTAAGTATAAAACCGAGCTATTTTCCAGGCTGGCTACTATTCCACCGAAAATCGGTCGGACTGTCCTGCTCTCCATGGCCGGCGACGACTGATCCACCAAATGAGGCGGAAGCCACAAGGAACTCCAACTCTTGAGACATTACAAATCATCGGGCCCAGATGACTTACCTCCGGCTCTTTTTAAAGATGATAGTGACATTCTGACTGAGGAACTGATGACGTTGTTTGCAAAGGTCTGAGAGTCAGAGAGTGTACCAATGTCATGGAATGAGTCGATAGTTATCCCTATCTTTAAAAAGGGTTCACGTCGTTCCTGTAACAACTATCGGGGGATAAGTCTACTTCCGATTGAGTCCAAGCTATTGGCTTCCGTCATACTTCGTAGGTTGTTCAAAACCCGAGAAAGATTGACTCGCGAGGAGCAGGTGGGTCTCCGTTCTGGTCGAGGATGTATTGATCATATCTTCACCCTCTGCCAAATGTTAGAACACCGCCATACTTATCAAAGGCCAAAAGTCGTAGTGTTTCATGACATCGGGGCTGCCTTCGATTCGTTGGACAGGATTGTTCTGTGGGATTGTCTATTAAAGAAGGGTGTGCCTGAGAAGTTTATTAACATCCTAAAAGCCCTATATACAAACACCTCAGGCAGAGTGAGGGCATGCAACTACCTTTCTCCATTGTTCCATTCGAGCAGTGGGGTTAGGCAGGGTTGCCCAATCTCACCATTCCTCTTCAACTTTGCCGTCGACGACATTCTGGAAACAGCTCTGATGAATGTAAGTAATGGTGGTGTGGATCTGTTGCCTGGAGAAAAACTTCTCGACCTTGAGTATGCGGATGATATTGTCTTACTGTGCGACAATACCCAAGGCATGCAATCCGCACTTAATCAGTTGGCAATCAGTGTCCGTAGGTATGGTATGTGCTTTGCACCTTCGAAGTGCAAAGTACTTCTAAAAGATTGGCAGGATTCTAATCCTGTACTCACCCTGGATGGTGAGCAGATAGAAGTAGTCGAGAAGTTCTGAATTTATTTTTAATTCTCAACATTAATTTTTAACCTTATTTAAACATTTACTTCACTTATTATTTGGTTCCTAATTAGATCGGCAATATGATCTAGTTGCATGGATTTGGTTATTTTAACAAGCTTCGTGACATTCTATCAAAACCAATACATTGGTTTTATACTGAGCCAATGGAGCGCTTTCGAGGACTTCTATCCCGTGACCTTGGAGGCTTATATAAAATGGTTGGCGATGGAGATGGTTTTATTCTTGTCCATCCAGGTTTGCGATGTGCTCATAAGTCCTGATTCACAGAACAGACTTCTTGAACACTTATGAGACCTATGCGTCATCATCTATTCACAAGTGACGACAAAAATGCTCGGTACCGAGGTCCAGGGAGTTCTCGGTCATTTAAAAAACCAGTCCACGACAAACTGGAAATTCTTTCAATGTCACAAATTCCACCAGAATTTCATGAAGTTGGAATTTTGTCAGGTTATCGCAAGCCGTCCGCGTCACTTTCATCAGGTGTCTGGTCTGTTTTCCAAATGCACAACGAAACCTTGAATATATGGACGCAAATCATACCAACCATTTATTTTGTTTTTGAACTAATCCTGAATTTTTTCCACGTTGGCGAGCGTTTTCTTCTTATATATCTAATTACCGCCGTTACGTTCCTGTTCACAAGTTCTTGCGCCCACACATTTAGTTGTTTGTCACCTAGAGCTCGACATATATGTTTCTTTCTTGACTATATCGGGATATCACTGTATTCTTATGGCTCCACTGTTTGCTACTATGCGTTTGCTCTGCCAGTCGAGTTCCTACGTCCTTCACCTTTCTTTATTCTCAATCTTAGTGATATATTCTTGTTTATCTCAGCATTGTTTTGTATCTGTGGTACATACTTATCATGTCAGACCAGATTTTGGAAACCTTCAATTTTTCGTAACATCATTAGAATGGGAGCATTTGGGATTATTTTGTTTTACGTCGGAACTCCGATTCTGTGGCGTTCATATACCTGTAAGTTCATGGCAAGTGAATATGAGTCTTCTGAATGCAGTTCACTTTATTATTGGAATTTGCATTTCATGTCAATGTTTTCTGCAGGGTTTCTGTTTGTGTCACACTTTCCTGAGAGGCTTTTTCCAGGAAGGTTCGATGTTTTTGGTCATAGCCATCAAATATTTCACATATTAAGTGCCTTCGGTTCTATTACACAATATTATGCACTTAGGATTGATCTCCAGGAGCGTAACGCCAAATTAAGACAAATGTCGCATGCACCTTCAATTCCCTTGTCTCTTTTTTGCCTTGGTCTGGTCGTATTTTGTAATTTCATTATATTTCTAAGATTTTACAAACGTCTTGGTATCGTCATAGGATGTAAAAAGTTGTAATTATCTTTATGTAGCTGCTTTGTGTTATACTTTTCAGACTTCGTTATCTTAGCTTTTTCACCGTTTCCCATATTTTCATTCTTGACTGATTTGTTTGGTTATTAGAGATTCATTGTTTTCCAGCACATAAACGTCCCACAACTCCTGCTTTTTACTCTTGTTACTTAAACTGTTGTCTTTTTAGATTAAAATAGCTTATTTCACCGATCAAACCACATGTACATTGCAAATGATAATTATTCTCAGATAAATTTCCTGTTTTCAATAATTTTCGGTTGGACGTAAGATATTGTTTTAAAGTATGATTGTTGATGTCTTGATGTAGTAGGATAGCCCAGCTCAAACACGGTTGTCACTGCTTCTCTTAACGCAGTTCAATTTAGCTGGTCCTACTAAACAGACCATCTGAAGTTACCCTACCATTTCCCAACTAAATATGTGGATAGATTCGAGTCGATTACTTCCATCTGAAGTTTTTACTGATAATGCTATCTAGAAAGACTGAAAGCTTCGCAGTTAAACCCCACCACTTAAAAGATCCAACTCTGTCAAAGTCAAAAGTAAATTTACTTAATTTTAGCGCAATAACTCTACAGAACATCCTTATCGTTTCACAGGTGAATTATTCTAAACGTAAATTGTTGATTTTCCTATAAATGTTACTAAACATTATCATCGCTATTATGCCTATTGTTCACCTAATACACAGCAGATTGGTATCAGAAAATGTTTTACCGGATGTCATTCAGTTGTTCGCTTAGAATATGAAGTTTTATAAGCTAATTATTTAAAATCGCATGACTCAGTTCTCTTCAAGGAATTGAGTCGAAGTCCATTACTTCCGTACACTTATTGATGCTCAGTTATTGAAATCTTCATGAAACTTCCATTTGTTGCAAACTTCTCTAAACATTGTATCATACGTGTACGTATCTCGTCAAAAAGCATGCTTCTAGTTTACAACAAAATCACTGCTATTTTAAGTCTTCATTCCTACTATTATAGTAAGTTTTTAGTCATAGGTGTCTCCGAAATATTGCTCGTATATCCTGGGACTATCGAGTAAGTAACGCAGTTGTCAGGAAACGGGTACTAGGTAAGGATGGCAAATCAATTGATGACGTAGTGAAACTTCATCAGTTGAGATGGCTGGATCATGTGTTGCGTGTACCCAACTACCGACTGCCCCGACATGCGATATTTTATGGTGTAGAAGTAGGTTGGAAGAAAGCTAGGGGCGGCCAAACCAAAACATGGCACAAGTCCATAAAGTCACTGACAAGTGAACAGAGTCATGTTGGTAGGTGTAGACTATCTGACTGGGATCCGCGAGACGATAGCAACCGATGGTTAGAGATCTTGAATGACATGGCTCAAAATCGTTTGCAATGGCTCAGGTGCATACACTCTTTGTGTTCTCCGAAGTTTTGATCTCCTCATTCCTCCTTGTCTCTTTTTTTCTCTTCCCAAATTTATTTCACTGTATTATACTCTTTAAATAACATCTCCAAACACTAATTTTCCTGATTACTGCTTATACTCTTATTACCTCTACCACTACGGGATTCGAATCGACCACTGCATCTCTGTGCTAATGTGGTGTGGCAACTCGAACTGATGTACGTACGTACGAAGTTCTACGTTGTTACTGACTGACTACATATGGCACAGTTTAAACAGTTGTAAGTAATAATTGTGTTGCATATCTTAGTTTTACCTTACGAAATTCCATGCTATATGGATATCCAATGAATGATCACCACTGTAGCATTGTCGCGTATTTCTTGAGTGTCTGCACTGAAAATAGTGAACCTCTAAGCCCGATATGTAGATCTTTATTTGGCAAATGAATCGCGTTCAAAATTTGATTTGTCTGAGTTTTTGATGAATTTGTGGAATGGTTTTGGCGGAACCAACTGTGCGCTTTATTTCCTAGTCAGTACCCAGTTTCTTTGTGATTAGTAAAAATGCGGCGACTGAAAAATGATGTAAAAATGTTACACAAATTAAAAAGCAGTTGATATAGGTCCATTCTACTATCTTTTACCATATCAATCTTTCAAAGCGTCACATATTAGTTATGATTGCACTCAGTAAATAAATGCTGAGCTATCTATTTTCGGTCTTAAAAATGTTCTGTAGTCACTTATTTTGCCAATAGATGCTAGTTTCCAGTAATTTTGCCACTGTCAAACATAGACAAGCGTTTTTTACCATTTTGATGTATCATGATTCACAATTTTTTTCTGTATCTTTCTGCAGTCGATTATTATTAAATCTGTTGTGCACCCTTTTCTTACCCTATGTTCAGTCGTGATTATTTTACTCCATTTTTTCGATTTGCTTACAGTTATCTCTGTACCGCTTCGGTCGTCATCCTTTTCATATGATTTCCTCTCCTGATGGTCGCTTTGTCGTTTTGATATGATATGACAAAAGCGATTGAAACATTTATACCAGATCCTTTATTATTTTCTTACAAACATTCTGAATTTGATATTTCTACACAATGAAGCTTCAATTGATACGCTTTTTTAATTCTGAACTAGGTGGCATCGTAAGTGTAAAATATGAGCTGCTAGTTGTTATCTTAAAAAAATGCCCCGTACTGCCAAAATTGGTCTTGCTAAACAAAAGCAGTAAATAAGCGTCGTGTTCTCAATGTCTCGACTTATATCCGACGTCGCTTGAAGTACGTTTCAACAGTATTAACTGCCTGAGTGCTTTTGAATTGTTATATCACCGTCCGCTATCTTTTACTTCGATTGGTTAAGTAAATAATAAATGCCGAAGTTTACTGTAACTTTCCTGATCGGTTCTACTTCTCGTTTTTTAGATTCTTCTAGGGTGGATCATAAAAACGTACGTCACTGCAGAACTATATTATCTAATTTATTACTGCTTAGAGTATTTGATGCTTTATGTTATATCAACAGAGCTCTATCAGTATTTCGTAGTTTTGTCGTCGTGATTTAACGGATGAAGTGTTTAGTATCGTTCAGTTAGTGAAATAGAGTACGAGATGATTATATAGTTTACTACTGATGATATTCTTCCATGGTGTGGGCGACCGGGAAGTGACATGAGCCCTCATGCACGTCATAGCACAAGAGATCAAGTTGGTCCTATTCAAATTCTTTCTATACTACCTCTAAGCATGTGCTCCAGAATGAGCGGCAGTCTTCTACCGAGCCTCTACGTCGGTGGCTGATAGCGATGTGATCTATATGGGTCGAACGTTGGGATGAATTCGGGGGTCGCCATGTCAAAAGTTGTTAACCCTTGTGCTTAAAGTTAGTATTTGCTAGAATCAGGCAGTTATCTGAACATAGCTGCAACAGACGGTCACCATTATCTGTTCTTTTAGACACGAAACCATAAGATATACCCAGGTGTCTTTTGTTTTCGCTTAGTTTACCTACTTGAGCATTGAAGTCACTAGTACTACATCAGAGCGTTTAACTTTTTGAGGAGATCAGAAAGCTTTCTGTGAAGCTCATCTTTTTTCCTCATCTGAGCTGCAGTGGGGGAATAGGCACAGACGACGAAAAGGCAACGACGAGTGTCCCTATCTTTCCGAGTCCTTACTGTTCCGTTTAGTCGGACAGCGCACAAACGACTGTCTACTGGTATCTAGTCTAAGATAGCTAGTTCTGCCCTAATGACTCAATGCTATACCTATACCAACGAGGCCACGGGAAGCAGCACCAGGGCTTTCAGATACACGAAGCGTGAATCGAGATGGTTCTCTATTTTGATATGTTGGGGTCAAATGAATGACGCTACTCGGGTCCAGTATACACGTTTCGGAGGTGCAGTATACGTCAACAGCGCGAGATTCTGAAGTCCCAGATGAGGAAACCTGTTGTCCTATTTGGCACAGTGTTCGGACGTTAAAATCTAGTACATGTAGTTTAGAGCGTGGTTTCAGGAGATCGGGAATAGCGTTCCGCGTACTCGAATCGTTTGCATTAGTGGCGCGAGGTGATAAAGGAATGTAAGAAGGGTTAGTCGTGGAGATGAGAGAGTTATTAGGAGATGTAGGAAGGATTTGAATGTAACCAACTTGACCTCGTGTGCTGACACGATTATGAGGCTGATGTCACTTCCCAGCTGCCTACACCGTGGAAGGGTATTTCTTGAGGAACCTGAAAAGGAAGTTGAATTAGTGTTGGTCTTAACGACCTGGGAGCGTGACCGCAGAGCCCAAGGGACAACTGCTTGAGGCCGGTCGCGCAAGGTCTTTTCGTGGGAGGTTTTTGATGTGTTAGCTCCGTTCTTCAAAGGGCCTTACCGCCGGAGACGGAAATGCGTGAGGTAAGTTGAGGTGTGACATTTTAGGGTCGACCTTTTCTAACCCCTTCCTTCCTTGTGAGAAGGCAGCAATGCTGCAAATGCTAGTTGTCCGAGAGAAACACCTTACTGCTATCACACCCCTCTACAGTCAGCAGTACGACTTCGCCCTCAGACCTTGAGTTGTTGCTTTTAGTCTTACCGTTCTCCAATCGACCTGCCTGGCATGGTAGAACCTCCAAGAACATATGTTTCAGTCAGTATAGCTCGGTTGCGTCATCACCATAGGGACACGTTTTACGTATGCCCAATCACCGACTGCCTCGACTAGCGATGCTTTATGATGTAGGAGTAGATTGGAAGAAAGCGAGAGCGGCCTGACCAAAAAATGGCACAAATCAGTAAAGTCACTAACAAGTGGACTGAGGCATGTTGGTAGGTGTAGACTACCTGGTTGGGATCTGCGAGTTGATAGCAACCGATAGTTAGAGACCCTGAAAGATAGCTCAAAATCGTTTGCAATGGCGCAGGTGTATCATCCACTCTTTGTGTTCCCTCAAATTTTTATCTTCTGAATTCTTCATGTCCCTTTTTTCCTCTTTCCAAATTTATTTCACTGAATTATACTCCTTGATTAACATCTTCAAACCCAAATCTTTCTGAATACTGCCTATACTTTTACTACCTCTACCACTATGGGATGTGAATTGATAATTGTATCTCTGTGCTAATGTGGTATGGCAACTTGAATTGATGTATGTACGTACGAAGTTCTACATTGTTTCTGACTGACTGACTGACTACCTTCTGCACCACACTGCTTGTGACAATCTGAAAACATAATAAACTTCTATTTACTAGAGGTTGTTGAGGTTATTTCCCCACTTTTTACTCGTTCACCTTTCAATGTTCTTGCTCATCGTGTGCTTTTGAATTTAATTAGTTTTTACCAATACACGCTTTCCCAACACAACTGGTATTTTAGCTTCTGAATATTCTTGTGCTAATCTAAGGCGATACTGATAATTGGTTCGCTTAGAAATACACAGTTAATTGGTTATCACGTTTTGAAGTCAAAGTGAGGAAATAGCATCAACAAGATATCGACTTACCTGTTCGAGTAGTCTATATCCTGATACGTATGTTAAATTTCTACCATGGGGCTAGTTGTTTAGTCTCATCTGATAAAATAAAGCCAATCATTGTATACTATTATCTGAAACGGTTAAGTTTGATATGGTGTTATTTTTTTGAATGACGTCTAGTAAAAATAATTTTGTCAAATCTTGAATTTGACTTTCTCAATATTATAATCCATCACTTTTCACTTCATTGCTTTGTGTAGTAATTATTTAATTCACCATGAGCAGTAGGTGATTTTTATTAAATTTCAGTAAAAACATCCTTCCTTGTTACTTTTAGCTAAGCATAAATTTTCACGCGATTATGTATAAACTTTGGTTATCGCATTTTTTAAAATCGTATGACGACGTGAAGAAGTGGAAGTAATTGAAATTTCTTGTTTCCATATTTATTTTCTGTTTGAAAAAAATAAATACTTGTTGTGCGATTTTCAGTAACAATACCTGAAATTGCATTATTTAGTTCGCTGTCATTGTTATTCTTTCTTTGTAAAATTAGATTTGTCCTATTACTTTACTGCAACTTGTCTTCTTATATATATCAGTATTGTAATGTTAAACTTCAGTAAATTAATGGCTGATGAATTAACTGTGTTCAAATGAATATTATTATCAATGATTATTTTAAAATGCAACGAATTGGTTTTAATGAACGGATAGATTTATTAAGTTTTTTCCTTAATTTTAGAGATACGCTTTGCGATCAGACATCTCTTTTTATTGTGTCCTGAAAGGTAGTTAACATCATCAGTCCTCTAGAATACCGTACAAATGACTTACAGGTTCATAGTGTCGTTCGACAAAGTTTGTATTATTACTACGTTTTATGGTGCTTTGGCTAACCTGGTCAAGGCGCTGTGATTTCATTCATTTTTATCATAATCTCAAACTTAATTCACTTCTAAGTTCACTTGGTGTTGTTTGCTTGTATCTTCCCATTGTTGTTTAGGACTGCAATTAATCAGCCTCTTGTTGACATATTTGCGTTCTGCATGGATTGCCTCGATATTGCCTTAAGTCACAACCTTTATAAGCAAAGATGGATAGTGACTAGGACGAAACGCGCGTCCTGGATACCACTGTTAGCTACCATCCATCTTTGCTTAATTCACTTCTGTCTAAATATATAAGGATTGTTAACTTGTACACTGCACATGTAGCGTATAGCCTCGTACATAATTGTTTAGGAGGTTGAGGGGCCATATAATATTTCAATCAGTTCCATTTGTCAGGTATCTTCTCTACAGTACCTGGTTATTCCCCGATTAGTGGCATACAATAAGTAGACTTTCCATTATCCAGGGCTCGGTTCCATATTGTCCTTACTATACTTGGAAATGTCCTGTGTTTGGAATAGATTTTTTTGTCTCAGTGTTTGTTTGTATAAACATTGCTTCTAGAGTTTGAAATCGTCGTGAAAGCACCAATAAATCATTAGTACTGACTGATAATTGTTGGGTTTTGTTTTTGTCCTCAGTTGGCAATATGTTCTTTTCAACAGGTGCGACTTTCGATTGCAACACCGACTTACACGACCTTGGCCCTGTGCCAAACCAATGACGTGTTGACCAGTACGAGCAGCCTAGAGTCAATTCTAAGTCCTTATTGGATCTGCTCGCCTAGTCTTGTCCGTTTAAGTTCAGAACACAAATCTCAGTTTCCACTGTATGAACCATATATTTCAGACACACTTGGTTTACATACAAGCAAGCCAGACCGTATCACATCATAAAGTAGAAAATAACAATTATACAAGATCAAGTCAAAAGTGACTGCGAGTGTGAGAGTCTGTAACTAATAAAATGGGAAAATCTAAAGAGTTTTAAGTCCTATAATAATAGTCAGTAGATCAGATGGAAGCTTATATATATATATATATATATATATATATATATATATATATATATATATATATATATATATATATATATATATATATATATATATATATATATATATATATATATATAGTTACTTAATAGTTATCCAGTAAGAATGTATGTAATAATAGTCCATAAATAATTCCTATCAGTTACCACTCATTTATTCTTGGTTAGGATATAACTTTTTTAATTATGTTTTCCAGGGTAAAGTTATTTTAATGAACGTTGAAAAATTATTAGTAATTTTGAATTCATTAAATATGTATTCGGGTATTCATCAAAGTTTCCCACTCTCTTTTCAGTAATAATCTGTTATTAAACATTTTAAGATTAAGTCACATATTTTGAATAAAATATTAATAACGTTTGATTGTAGTTTTATTTGAAACTATGTAACTGTGGGTCTTCTGGATTGAATTACTGTTAACATCTCATTTTGTAAATTTCGCATACGTGTACATGCATCAATTGTTAATCATTTTTGAGATAGCTAGAAAATAAAGTACATATTACAAAGAGAACATATGCTTTCATCTCATTTAATGATAACATTTACACTATGGTAAAACGATGAACAATCAATTCCATGTATGTATTCACTGTGTAATACTGCTTAGGTGTCTAGATTAATAATATTGTCAAAGCCATTACTAAATGTAATCTGTTTAAATTATTTTGACAATTTACTAACTTCTAAATAAAATTAAGTTATTTGGCACTTGTTATTAACGTTATATGCATACCTTTAGTTACGCCGACGATCTTAGTATATGTGTGTAATATATCATTTATTATTATTATTGTTACCATTATTATTATTATTATTATTATTATTATTATTATTAATATTATGTGTATTACCACTTACTTTACAATAGGATTACAACTTTTCCATTGTTTCTTAATGTTGATTCATCGAAAATTTAATTTACCAACATCATTGTACAACAATTATCGCTTGTATTTCAAATATATTGTCTCAAATCTACATAAACAGGATTTTCTAAATATTCAATGCAGATCTAGTCATTCAGCTAAGGAAAAGGATGCTCACTCAATAGTATCATTGGATAAGACAAAATGTAATGAGAATAAAGCGATATGTAAAAATGTCAAATTAATTGGATGGGTTCAGTCTGTTAGAAAGCATAAATCTTGCGTATTTTGTAATATATCAGATGGTTCATCACCTTATGATTTGCAAGTAAGTTATAATTTCTAATTCATTATCTTTCACTCAAAACTTTCTTGTCTCATATTATCCGGTTGTTAACTTTTTTGTCTAATTGGTATGCATCAGAACTTATGTCAGATAACAACGTAAAGCCAAGTTTCAGATACTTGGTTCTCACTAATGATGTATTCGATTTTCAGTTGTACAGACATGTGTTCAAACTCCATCTCACACACCAAAGTTTGGATACTTGTTTGCCAAGTGCGGATTTGCAAAATCATCTATGGTTTGCGTCATTCAGATTATGGCTAGTGTTATTATCTTGTTGCACAAAATAACGCAGGTGAAGTGTGGTTAGAAAATGTAACCCGCCAAGTGGGAGTTAATTGCACTAACTACTGAGCCATTACTTCAATGGTGTGCATAACATGATCCTATCTTTGTTAGTATCAACTTTCACATAATATTTATGGTCAAGAGACAGTTTATTAGTGTAAATGTGGTTACTAAATTTTGTAATATTTGTAGCGCTTTCTATCTACGCCATAGTTCATTTATTTCCATTTGTGTATAGATAATATAAATTCATTCGCCAGGTAGTTGAGTGAGAACCTTTTCCTTAATGTTCATTTAATCTTGACAGATTTTTATTTCAAGGTGTTCATTCGCTTTCATTCTACATATTCACTTTTCTTGTACTTATTGTCTATCTAATATTACATTTCAGGTTGTCACTTCGCCTAGTGAGATTACTGATAAGATAACCGTTGGTTGCGCTTTGTCAGTTGAAGGTGACATCTATCATATTCCAAATGTTCTAAAAACATCTCAATTGTCGATTGATAAACCTACTGTTCAATGTTGTGGAGAATTACGTGCTAAGATTGTTAATATTTTGGATACTGAAAATCAAGCTGGAGAATTACAACTTGAAAAGTCAATTAACAATGTTTCTCTTCCTTTTAATCACAGTGTTCCTACGATAAATCAAATGATAAGTTCACTCGGTCGGCATAGTCCACGACCTGATTTAGGAGTTCTACGCTCAGTTGAAGCATTATCTATGCGTCATAGACTACCTGAGTTTGGTGCAATGCTTAGAATGCGTGCCTATATTAAGCGAATAGTTAGAAAAGTGATGAGTTCATGTGACTACTTAGAGGTATGTTTACTGATGAATTAATGATAATAAATATTTCGTTAGTTATTATGTATTAATTTTATTGGTTGAAATATGACACTTCTACGTATTGTTAATTGTTTAGTTAAATCAAAATTGCATATTCTTGTATACATTGAAACTCATATTGTTCAGAGATTCTTTAGACTTCAGGTAATCGAAAGTAAGAAGTAGTTTTGACTTCTAATCCACTACGGTCCATTCAATTTAGCTGGCTATAACATTTATTTCAATGAGAGGAATTATATTAAACTGTTCACTAATAACATTGGTAAATATTCAAAGCAATCACTTTTCCAAAATTTAATTTTAAAACACATGTATGTATCAAAATTCACTTGGTGTTGCTTGCTTGTATCTTCCCATTGTTGTTTAGGACTGCGATTGATCAGTCTCTTGTTGGCATATATGCGTCCTGTGCGGTTCGCCTTGATATTGCCTTAAGTCACAACCTTTATAAGCAAAGATGGATAGTGGCTAAAAGTGGAACCCAGGATGCGCGTTTCGTCCCATCTGGGACTCGTAAGCTGGATGTACCTGCATCCCAGAGTTGATGTATCATATTTGGAAAAGATCTCTCTTAACTTGCATACATAAATTTGTAATATGGTAGTGCCCTACTACATATTGTTAACTAACCTTTTATTCAATAGGATTATCAATCATTTAAGTATATTTTTTATATGGAGTTTTTAACAAGATAGACATTATCTTTGATCGATTTATTTCAGTCTGTTTACTTTTCAATGTGGAAATATTATTCTAGGAAAATTTATGATATAATTTTATACTTCAATCTTAGTTTGTCCATAAATTCTGTCTTAATAATTTAAATGGTATACATCTTGAGATACGGCTTTATGTGTATTGCTTTCATTTATAAAAGACGAAAATGCCTGAACGGTTTCATTCATCCATATATTTTGTTTGATTTTTTATCGTGAAGCGGTAGTTAAGTGACTAAAGGATTTGAATCTCAACCAATAGGTCTCAGATTCATGCCTCAATTCACCTTCTTTGATTAGGGCGGTCGGGTAATGTTGCAAGTGCTCATACAAATGGTGCGGCTTAAAATCGAGTACATAAATGTGTATTCGGTGAATAAGTCGATCGTCATAATAAATACAACTTATCATGCTTCGGTACATGTTTACAATTTCTGGGTTGTATGAAGAAAAGATGCCATTATGGAAAAGTATATAGATGGTATATGACTTTGCAAATCTTTTCATCTCAGCTGTAAAAAATTTTTATCAATGGAATTGGTTTCGTAAAGAACTTGACGAAGTGGGTTAATTGAAAATCTCGAGTTGTGTTATTACTGCTACTACAACCAATAATGTATCCAATCAAAATACTATTGAATATGTGAAATGTAATTTTAATTGAGATCTTGAACCAATTGATGTTAGACCATCACAATTGAAAACCTGGAAGCACTGGACGGCCGTTTCGTCCTATTGTGGGACTCCTCAGCAGTGCGCATCCACAATCCCGCGAGCGGGATTCGAACCCAGGGCCTTCGGTCTCGCGCGCGAACGCTTAACCAACTGGACCACTGAGCCGGCATCCAATGGTGATAGTTTCTAACATCAACCAATCCACGAAATTGCGCGAGGAGTCCCACAATAGGACGAAACGGCCGTCCAGTGCTTCCAGGTTTTCAATTGTGATGGTCTAACATCAATTGGTTCAAGATCTCAATTAAAACTTAATAGTCTCCACAACCCCATACTAGAAATGTAATTTTGTTTGTAAATAACAGGTGTGTATCATGGAAAGTTGAAATATATCAAAAATGTTTTACGTTGAATGGTATTATTATTATTATTATTATGTTGACCATAATGATGATAATTTATGAAGCTGTTGAAATGAACTTGATACAGAAAATATTAAAAATATATCTGGATAGAAGTTATTTGCATTTTTCTTGCTAAGTTGCTAAATCATACAATCATGTTTCAGGCTTTCTTTCATCAATGGGGGGTGTACGGATATTGAATGAGGTCAACATGTTTTGTTGATTGAAATATATGGGTACAGTAAAATAAGCTTATTCACTGCACGAGAACATGCCCAGTACTGTTTGGTCCAAACACCATTGCGTTATCCACTTAGCTAGGAAGAAAATCGTATCCCGGATCCCACTATTATCCACCATCCATCTCTAATTATAACGCTTGTAACTTAATGACATCGAGGCAGTTCACGTAGGATGTCCATTTTCCAAAAGAGGTTGATCAATTATAGCCGTAAACATGAATAAGAAGATCCAAATGATCAATATATATGAATCAAAATTAATCCTGTTACACAAGCCGGTGACTATCTGGACTCAGTAGCTAGGTGAATAACGTGATGGCATTTGATGTGAATGGTACAGGATCGAGTCCCAGAATCAGCATCAACTCTGAGATGCAGGTACATTCAACTGACAAGGGTAGAAATGCTTACTATGTTTTACTTAGTTTACTATCTCCACTTCATGTTTTCTTGTTAGGATTCTATCAATCAGCACGGAACACTAGGTAATAATGGGTTTCTTCCAGAGAGAGTGATCAATGTTCTCAGCTGTTTAGAGTAATATGTAGTTGCCGACAAATGTGAACGCTGATGTTTGATTTCATATGATTCCATAAGCATACGTTACCGAATATTCCCAAGTCGAGATAGAAATAGCTGTATTGTTTCCTATAAGTTCCAATAGTTCATTGACTAATATCTTGGTTCGAAACAAAAATCATGTTGATATTGCACTTATCCCTACCAAATTACACAACTACAACAGTAATTAATATTAGTAAATACTACTGTACTCGTTAATTTATCTTAAAGTCTTTCATATTCATAAATTTTATAAATGCTTTGAATTAACGAGACCATTTGTTTGCTTCTTTGTCATCATGAAGAATTATACAATAATTATTGGAAGTAGGGAATCAGTTCTGTCGCTTATTGACCTCTCTGATTGTCATAAAATTCAATAAATAATCTTTTCATGTAAACATTTAGTTATTGTCATTGTAATTACATCTGACTGTCGATTCGCTTGGTCTGATGAAAACACTGACTGAGCTTTTCGAGTAGCCGATAACTTAGACGTGTGTCATTGACTGGTCACTGAGTAATGACCATTTTTGTGTGTTGTGCTGTCTGCTGGTCAAATTATAATTTTCTCGACAAAATTTTTTCAGCAATAAAATACTAGACAAACATGACATTGGTCACCATCCAGTGATCAGTCACTTATAGAAATGAATTCAAACTGTTTAATAATAGTACGATTTGATGCATTTTAATTTTGTTTTCATTAAGAAAATAATAATAGCACGATTCTGAAAACTTATACACATGAATATATATCTATTTCGTAATCAAATTACCCGATTGCTCAAATTGTATTAGTTCGATGAATTTGTTTCAAACCATATAAATCATTGGTTTGCTGGAGTTTGAGTACCTAAACCAATGAATCATAAGACAATTATTGTAATTTGTAATAAATAATTTATGCTAATACACAGCAAAACTAATTTCTATAAAATAACCACCTACTAGTTTAAATTCTCTCTTAAAAGTACAAATTTCACATTGTTTTACAAAGTATAATGTTGAGCTAACGTTTTCCTCGTTTCGGTGGTTTTTTAGAAGAAAAACTTTTGTATGATATTGTTGATATTTATGTATGCCTCTCAATGGTTGCGTGTGTGTGTTGTTGATTTCTTTTATTAAATTCTATTTGAGGTTGACTATTAGTTGTCAATAAAAATAGTTGAGTTCCGTTCTTCCAAGTAGCAAACAATATAGATTTAAATGAAGATATATTATCATGACATACTGAGAAACAATTACGACATCCCAAAGTTCTCAATGCACTCTATGCAATTACAGACCATTTTATATTGCTGTCAGTATTAGTTGTATTATTATTATTATTATTATTATTATTATTATTATTATTATTATTAGTAGTAGTAGTAGTAGTAGTAGTAGTAGTAGTAGTAGTAGTAGTTGAATAACCAATATCCTAATTGAAAATTCAGTTCAAATGTTTTTGGGAGCATTGAATCCAAATTGAGAATGTTGGTTAGTTAGATCAATCAGTCAGTCAGTAACAACGTAGAACTTCGTACGTACGTACATCAGTTCGAGTTGCCACACCACATTAGCATAGAGATGCATTGGTCGATTCAAATCCCGTAGTGGTAGAGGTAGCAAGAGTATAAGCAGTAATCGGGAAGATTAGGGTTTGGAGGTGTTATTTAAAGAGTATAATACAGTGAAATAAATTTGGAAAGAGGAAAAAAGGGACACGAAGAATTCAGAAGATAAAAATTTGGGGGAACACAAAGAGTGGATGATACACCTGCGCCATTGCAAACGATTTTGAGCTATCTTTCAGGGTCTCTAACCATCGGTTGTTATCATCTCGTGGTCCCCGACCAGGTAGTCTACACCTACCAACATGACTCAGTCCACTTGTCAGTGACTTCATGGACTTGTGCCATGTTTTGGTTTGGCCGCCCCTAGCTTTCTTCCAACCTACTCCTATACCACTGAACATCGCATGTCGAGGCAGTCGGTCGTTGGGCATACGTAACACGTGTCCCAGCCATCTCAACTGATTAAGTTTCACTACGTCATCAATTGATTTGCCATCCTTACCTAGTACCCGTTTCCTGACAACTGCGTTACTTACTCGATAGTCCCAGGATATACGAGCAATATTTCGAAGACACCTATGATCAAATACTAGTAACCTACGAATATCCTCTACTCTTACCGGCCATATTTCACTGCCATAAAGTAGGACAGGACGAACTGCTGCGCAGTAAACACGTCCTTTGGTTGATAGACGGATATCTCGTCTACGCCGTAAATGACGCAAGTTGGCAAAAGCTAGTCGAGCCTTCTGTATCCGTGCTGAGATTTCGTCACACACCAGACCACTAATGCTGATGAGACTTCCAAGATAAGTGAAGCGGTCGACACACTCAACTACTTCAATCCCTATCACTAGTTCGGGTGTCGATGCAACCCAATCCTGAAGCAACATTTTGCATTTCGAGGGAGAGAATCGCATCTCGAACATCACATCCCCTCATTCTTTGTTCTGACGGTTACTTTGATGATTCTGGATTCATGAGATTTCCATCTTATAGGTGGTTCTTCATGACCGGAGTACAACAACACCTCTCGCGAATCTAATTCTTTCTGTCCAGCTTGTGTTTAATGGGCTGTACTTATTCCGAGAACTGCCAAGTTGTATCTTATCATTTCCGTAGCTATTTGACTTGTCCTCTCTGTCTCCCACATTGTCCATGTAACCATATTAATAGTTTTTCTGTTTCTCAGAAGGAGCAACGGCCTCGTGACTTCCGAGGAATCTTGGCTTTTACCATGGGTCATCGTCGTAGTTCCTTTTAAAATATGAAACTTTACTTATTATGCGTTCTAATCCATTTAACTGTAGAGTTAGTAATTTTAAACTGATTACCTTATTTTACGATTTGAAAATTTCAAGTATTGGGTTGTGGAGATTGTTGGATTTCATTGAAATTATGAGCCGATCAATGCTAAATCACCACTGAAAAACTGGGAGCACCGGACGGTCTCTTCGTCCTAGTATGGGACTCTTCAGCGGTGCTCACCCACGACCCCATACGCGGGAATTGAACTTTGGACTTTCGATCTCGAGCACAAACGCTTTACCTCTGGACTACTGAACCTGTATACAACGGTGTTCAAGTTTAAGCTCAATAAATTCAAGATGTCGCGCGACCTCGTGTACATGGTCGTCGATGTTCGCTGTTTGGGAGTTCCATATTAGAACGAAACGGATGTTCAAAAGGCAATCCTTAAGGTTTTCATTGGTGGTCTAACATTGATCGGCTGATAATTTCATTAAAATTGAATAAATATGATTACTGTCAACATGTCAATCATAAAATTGTTGAAAACGTATAGGGTTTTTCTTAGATGAGATAATAGGGTTGTTATGGCAATTGTAGTGTGTTTGTCCATGTGTACATTCGTTCTTGATTTAAAGAAAAACATCGATCGTAGTTAACCAAGGTTCCTTGGGACTAAAAAACACAAGTTTAAGTTGAGAATTCAATGGATACACCTAATTATATACAAATAATTAATAGTTCAGTGTAAGTTTTGTAACCACAATAATAATTAGCTTGTATTTGTGATGAATAAAAATGACTGTGGTAAATAATAAATAGCATGACATTTATAAGCTTCCTTAGATCTGTTCTGCTGATGAACGTTTTTAGAGCAATTTTTATATCGGTGTCCGATAATGTTGAGTTATATGCATTTCTTGGATAACCGTAATCAGTAGTTGAAGATGTTGGTTAACATGACTCAGAATCGTTCACTGTGGCGGAGATGCATCCACTATATGTCTTCTTTTAGGTATTCAGTTTCACAAGATACTCTACACATAAGTATTTGCATTCCTTCTCGAACAATATTCTCAGTGTTTTTCTTCATTATGACTGATATTACATTTATTTAGAAAACTTTGGTATTTATCTTGTTAATTTTGCGTTCTTGTGGTGACTTGATACTGGTAGGTAAAATAAACACAAATTTGTTCCAGATTTTACGTAGATTATAACCAATGTGATTGATAAACTAACTTATTTAAAGCTGGATGGACTCAGTGAACACTGAGTGTTTGTAATCAACTTAAAAATGAAATTCATGTCAACATTGTATCATTCATTGAGCATTTTCTTACTATTAGTTCCGATCGTCCTATTTTCTTACTTTGATATTTATTTGTTTATCCTCACTAATTCGCTTTCTGTGTTTCCTCTCACTTTTTCTTAGTTACTTAGTTTTAATGTTGATCAGTTGTTATTATTTTTTAAACATTAATTAATGATGCGTAGTACTTGCTAACCGACTCGGGGATTTATAAACCAATCATTTTATACGTTTAATAATTTTTAGAGAGCACCATTTTAGTCACTTTTTGTCTACACACTAACCTATGTAAATTTTTACATTTAAAGCATGAGATTTACTATTCTTTCATGTAGATTGACACTCAAATTTAGTGAATAATTCATTTGTTCATCAGATAAATTTCTTATTGCAAAATTACATAAACTCAATATTTGGGAAGGATAAATTTGTCAAGTTCTTTCCAGTTAGTGCAGTATAACACTTGTGTTGATATGCTTAGTTGTCAAAATCTATCTTGATGTTGTAGATTTCTTGTCATGTTTTATGGTGGGATTTCTGTTTGGTCTCTTAAAAATGTTAAATCGGTGTATGAAGTCATTAATTTTCAAGTTTGAAATATACAGAAAAGTTCAAAACTTTTGCTCAGTATCTTTACATTCTTTTTAAAATAACATTTCTACATTTCAGGTTGATACTCCGATCCTCACTTCAACAGATTGTGAAGGCACTGGTCAGATGTTCCAAGTTCAAGCACCTGCGCTTAATGAGACTAGGGAATCCGATAGTTCAAGTATATATTTAACCGGTAGTGCTCAGATGCATTTGGAATCTCTTGCTCTGGGTTTAAGTAAGGTGAATAAAACTCACACCTTCTATTTCGTGACATTTTAATCTTGCTGTTATACGTTCTTGTTGGTATAATTTTATTTGTTAATGATTACTGTGACAAACTCCCCTTTACTTGCGGTTTAAAGTGTTTTATCTGTGTTTTGGTTCTATCAGCCTTAATGCTATGAGTGATAACCTTAATGGGAGTATTCTTTACTGCTTTTTATCAAGTATCTCGATGCCAGCGTCATACCGTAGAGAAAGCTTATAATCGCATTTATTTTACTATTCGTAAATTATCTTTTAAAACTTGTCTCGATTGGATATTTGATTAGTTATCTCTTTATATTACTTAAGCATCGCTTGCTGATGAATATAAGTCTGAAGAATCATTAAATTTTCTTTATTAAAATTTGATCCAACTTACTGATTTTAAGTCGACTTTTGCTATAATGCTGTTCAGTACATGATATAAAAGTGGCAAATCATTGGATTATTAAATTAAGGTATGGGCTTTGCTGGTGATCGTGTCCCAACGAGTGATTTACAGAGTATTAACTTGATACTCTGTCAATCAAGCTGTTATCAAATTTCTAAAGAAGTTAAAATTTCACATTATTCATCTTGCTTTACCATATTGACTTTGATGTTAAACGAGTAGCATCATAGTAACAAACCAGTTTGGAATTTCACCAAGTTATTACTATTTTTTATGTGTAAGATTTCGTTTGTTGTAGATCTTGTAGTTTATGCTATTCAATAACAGACCGGTTAGTTGAAGTTTGCTATCTAATTCCGTTTCAACATTGTGCTCCATGTTTTTACCAAGCTACATTTTGTTTACTTAAATATGTATGCCTAATTGATTATATTCTAATAGTTTAGTTTATAAGTTAATTCGTTGTTTACTCATGGAAATATGAGATTATAAGTGTTTCTAATATTGTTATGCATTTCTTGGCCTTAAAATATCAGACCATTTTGTGATTATGGAGATTTTGAGCTTAGGGAGAGGATTTTGAGTGAATTTTGTTCTCTGAGCTGGATGTTTTATCCTTGAAGTTTTCATTACCTTTCTAGACAATTTAATCCGGATATAATTTAAAAATAAACATTTATCATAAACGACACAAATTCGTCTATAAACTACCAAGGGTATTACTGTCATCGAAATGAGGCTCAACCTAAGTGTCCATCCGTTCCATCCGTAACCTTGAAGTTATATTAACAGACTGTACACACCCACTGAATTTGTATATGATAATCTGAACTGTTTGTGTCTATTTATCTTAATTTCTTTCAAGTGCTTTTCGCAAAGATTTCATTAATTCGGAAGTATATAAATCATCTAGAATAGACGATGAGCAATAAATTAGTTTCCCCCTTTTTTCTAACTACTTAACAGCTTTCGCGGGAAATGCATTATGATGTTAAATCTAATCACTGATACTACTTCTAGCTTGTTATTCATCTTATTAACTTTATCTCGCTCTACTGATATAATGCGACAACACTGGTCGACCTACATTAGTATCAGTTGAGTGGACTAATAATTGCCTAATAGTTACTTTCTATGGATGCTGTCCATATATTTTACCGTAGGCTTTTTGCGTGAACACTGAAAGGGTGTTTTTCAACTTATGTTAGACTTTGCACCATTTAGATTATTTAAATAAATAACAACTGTCGTATTTTTAAAAAAAACTGGGTCACCAGTACTAGAGATCCCCCTCCTTTTATTTCATGACTCTTTAGTATAAGTCTTTTTTAATTTCATATTTGTCCGAATCTGGTATCATTGACCAGCAATTTATTAATTAAATAATCAATTAAAATTTAATGATTAGGTTTTCAAATTTGAGTTAGTTTGCAAGCAAAGTCGACGTGTCGTTGATGGAGATTTGTCCTCATTCACGATTCGACTGAACTGACAAGTTACTATTATTAAAAAAATTAGAGTATCTATAGTGAATTAATTCATAGATGGAATCTTAACTAGCAATTAAACTGCTATGAAAACTACTAGTTGCCAAACTTCACTATCAGGATCCTTAACAACACAAGCAATTCTTTCATAATATACAATTTTTAAATCTGAAGAACCCCACTTATTACTAACTGACTGAAAACTTCTATCAGTACGTACTTTTGAAGATCTCTTTAAATGCACCATTTTAACACTATACAACCTTCTCCAACTATCATGATCGCAAATATATAATTATGAATAAAACACATACCATACAAGCTTTTGACAAAATTTAAAATCTTCAGATGAAAATAAGAAGAGAAGAAATCAACTAAAGCATAAAGTGATGATCTATGTTGAAAGCGAACTAAAATGTAAACAAACTTCAAAACCATTTATTGCTACCTGTTACGTTATCTAGAATTACAGATATTTCAGAAATAAGTACTTTTTCTTTATTATACACTCAATAATTGTTTTATTAATTTATTTTTCTTTATATTCAAAACAAATAGGTTTATACATTGAATCCAACATTTCGAGCTGAGAATTCAAGTACAAGACATCATCTTGCAGAATTTTACATGCTTGAAGCAGAGTCAATTTACTTAGATAATATTAATTCATTATGTAGTGAAATTGAAATGTTAATTAAAAAGATATTAAATGAATGTTTAGAAATTTATCCTATCTCAGGATGTAATGAACTCAATGCATTACAAGTAAGTTGATTTCATCCAATATGTATTATTTATTAAATGAATAAATAAAAATATTTGGCGGTTATATTAAAAAAATTTCCAACTGTTCTAAAGTAATTGCTTTCTTATAAACTTTTATAGTTAAATGATTATCTTTTTCAATTTAAGTTGTTTAAGATTAAAAGTTAATAGTTTTGCTTTACTGATAGCAATTTTGTTTAAATCATGAATTGTCTTCTATTCTGATTGTTTGATTTCATCTTAATTTAGGACATTCTAACAAAAATTCTTGACCATGACACAAATGAGAATCACTGACACTATTGATTAACCGTTCAGTTACTGAATCCATTCTTTTTTTTTGTTCAATAAATTTACATACATACAATTGTTTCCCCTTCAATAGAAAAGGATTATATTATTACTGTATATTTTCTATTGTTTTTAGTACAAAAACACCTTTGAAAATTTCTTTATTTCTTTATTGTTCTCAGCTCAAGAAATTTACGACAATTCTTAAGTTCTATCTGGTCAATTCATTTTTATTATGTATTAAATCTACTTTAATTTGTAATTAATTATTATATATACATATATGTATTCTTTGTTTTTCATTATGTTCCTTCTTTTATTATTACTAGTAATAGGTTATATATTTTTTAAAGGGAAATTTTATTAGTAGTGCTATACTTTAATGGTTTCAACTAAATTAAGTCAAAAGTTATTAATTTAGCACTTCCTACTTTTGCTGTTTTCCACACATACACATAATAAATAAAAATTGCAGCCTAGTACTAAAACACGTAGTTGAATAGTTTGAAGAAATCTTTTTTCAAAGAATTATTGTTCAATTTCCTGGGTAGTTTAAATTATTGAGTTCAGTCTTATTATTCAGTGAGTAAAACTAAATATTTGTTTATTATTAATAATTGAGAATAAAATACAAGCCAACAATATTACAAGACTTATCTGTAACTGCTACCTTGCTACAGCAGCTGAAGTTGTATTTTATGACTTTTCGATTGATTTACTTATTTATAGTATACTTGTTATTTATGCTCCAACTAGGTCAGATAAGTGGTTTGTAGAATGGTAGTATGAGACTCGGCAAATTTAAGAACGTATTGCATTGTTTCGTTAATGTACAGTCCTTTAAGTTAATGATTTTTTTCAAAAATCGTTTTCAAATGAAAACACTTTTGATATCCAACATTCCTACTGTCCGGCAATCCAATCAAAATCTTTAGTTCAATGAAGATTAATTATACAATGGTTACACAGAAAAGCACTTCCTTGTCAGATCACATAATCTTTTCTGGATGTGCAGTTTTAAGTGAACTAATTAATTTCCGGTCATTTATTCTGGTCACCACTTTTGATTAGATTTGTTGATAACAGTTTCTGTTGCCAAATACGTAGAAGTAGATCTATTTCTATTTTTTTTTTACTAATTGGATAATTCTGATTCATGCAGTGAACCTGTGAACATACTCTGATTAACCATAAAGTGCCGTTCTCTAATAGAATTTGCATTGCTGTGATGGACATTTCGAAATGTTGAACAATTCTATTGAATGAAGTGAACGTGAATTTGTTTATTCTTCTATGACTAGTTTATTTAGTTAACTTAATCGTGAACGGAGTAAGACTTATTCTATAATGTTCGGCTTCAGTCTGTACAACAGCGTCTTCAAATGGTTTGAATTTCGTAAAAAATTGAGATTCCACACTTCACATGGTTTTCTCGTTTCATATCTCAGTAAGTGTTTAGCATGTATAAAACAATTTCTGTGTAAATTACTTACCAGAAACTAATTATTTCGTTACATACTTTGCCAGTTTGCATTTATCTATTAATTGTTCACTCACCTTTATTGTTCTTCGTTTCTGTGAATAACCTTGAGTGTTATTATTGTTAGTGCGACCTTCACTAACCATAAACGTGTATACTATGAGAAGTAAAAGCCTTTTTTTAATCTTTATTCGATCTCTGATGGATTTGTTCTAATGAAGCTTAAATGATATTCTAATTCCTTTATTATTATTATTGTTAAGTTAATCCATATAATTAAATGTTTAAACTTTATTTCTGATCATTTTCAGTCGTTCAATAGTGAAGTAGTTTTTCTTTCCTACTAAGCTTTTTGTATATTCTAATCAGTTGTATAGAAATTTTCTATTATTTACACTTACAAAATTCATCCTTTCTCATTATTACATTAGTCAATAGTTAATTTTTTATTTATCCAATACACATATAGATACTTGTGTATATTTGTACTTAAAGTTGTAGGTATTTGTAAATATTTGCATGTAAGTTTCTAACAGGAATAGGTAGTATTTCTTTGTTTCATGCTTTAGAATAATTTCTCTATTCAAGTAACAATACTATTAATAGTAGTATTTTATTTCCATAAAGCAGATGTTTAAAGTATCTCACATGTTTCATAGCAATTCTGTAATAATTGAATATTTTAAGACAAATGGGATGAAAAGAACAAGAGAATTCACTTGATCCAATTGTAGATTATATTATATGTTTTACAATTTCACATGATTGTATAGTCTAATTATCCTACTACTCAAAGCTTATTATCAATTATTTACATGATAAGATGTAGTTTTTATTTCTTTTGTAAAAATTTTTTAAAAAAATATTTTGGTTATTTTATGCATTTTGTGGAAAACAACTAAATTCACATGGTTTAATTTTTTGTAACAATGGAATTTATAGTATGTTTTGAAATTGACGTTCATTTTAATGAAAGAGTATTTGTTTTGTTAGGGTTTTTTTCAATTCCATGATTAATAGTGACAGTTAATTACCAATTTATAAAATGTGTAATTTTGATGGATTTATGCATATTTAAGGTTAGTTTTTATATGAAATTCAATATTGCAAGTTTATATTCATTAACTAAGTACTAAAATTAATTTTTACAACTCGTAGCTTGGAGATAAAAATCATTCAATTATCGTCTAGAACTTTGCAACTTCGAATTGTGTAAAATTTTTGTTGGGATAGCTTAGTAATACCGCTTACTAACTTTTATACTTACGGTATGGCTCAAATCTCAATACGAACAACCTGTACTCCGCTTGAAAAAATGTTATTGTCTAGATTTTTACTGTGTTGCATATATAGTTCTTCAATAGAACGCGTTAAATATCAGTCCTACTCGACAAACAGGTTTGTCTTTATATTATTAGAATGAATGTGATACTATTCAGTAGAAGTGATGATCTGCATAGTGGAGAATAATCTCAGGCTATAATTTATGGATCACCTTTGAACGAAGCTAGAGTGATCTTGAGAGTGTTCATCTACTTAATAGAGCTAAATAATTGTTATAAACCGATGTGAGGTCTAAGGATTATGATTTACCGTTGATAATTAGGGTTAGGAATTAGATTTAGGGTTTCCATCACGAACTGACATCAGCTAAAATGACAAAATGCCATTTAGCCAAATTTATGAATCGATTCTCACCAAAATCCAATACTTGTTATCCTAAGTCTGACTGGTTTCGTCCATAAATTGTGATCTCTTCAAATAGTCTATACTTAATCAGAGTTTGGTTTTCAAATTGCTTGATTATTATGTGTTTTAATCCGAATGAAATATGTACGAATAAGTTTACTATCGATATGTCTTTTGCTTCTATTATTTATGCAGTCATATTTTATATAAATTTCTCTTACATAGCTTTTATTGTCTTTTTCGTATAAAATGTAACGATTTAGTTCATCTTCAGGAATCTAATAGTACACTTTTAAATTTAATATTATTTTTCGATGACCTCTTAACGGAAAAATCTAAATGTATGAATATACTTACTTTAAAGTGTAAATTTGAGTGAACCAATTACATGAAACTGACTTTAGCATAGTACAAATGTAAAATATAGAGAAACCTAAAAACCGGGTAATCTGGCTGCAGGATATACATATATATGCATTACGTAATAGTAAAACTTAGTCTCTTGATTATGGAATTGTTAGTGTAAGAAATTGTGTACTCTTCCTTTATTTCGTGCTATTCTTCTCTAGATAGAAAGATTAAACCATAAATTGTGAATTATATGTAAGAAACTAAATGTTGATTTCCTTCTCCGGTTATCTTTGATAATAGTCAATAGTTGCGTTAACCATAGGAACATCGACTAAATTTCCATTGCTACATCTATCATTTATTTTTTTCTAATTTGAAAGGTTTCCGTTCCTGAAATAAGGATCTACTCATATCAGTTTCTAATTTTGTGCATGCTTTGTACTAATCAGTTAAATATGTGTAAAACATTATTGCAATTTTTCATAAATTTATACTAATATACACACTTGACTCAAAAGGTTTATACAGTTCACAAAGAGGATTTTAAGGTCTTTCCAATGCTGATTTTTTGTTGATTCCTATCTTCTATCCTTTGATTTTCTTACTTTTCAGAATGATTTAGTGTTGATTCGAACATTCCTTGGAAGTCAATCTGAATCTGATAGCCATTCCCAAAGTTTTCTAGTTGATTCTGCTCTGGAGCTAAGAAATGTTTTGGAAACAATGCTGAAACAACCGTTTGTTTGCATTTCATATTCTGAAGCCATAGAGTACTTGAATAAAGAAATGGGTACAGCTGATCTTACTACTTCGAAACCTCGGGATTTGAACAAAAAAGAGGAGTACAAAATCCTAGATTGGGTTGGCGGGAATCGTCCTGTCTTCATTACTCGTTTTCCCATGGAACTTAAACCATTTTACTGTCAGTCAATTAATGGTATTGAAGCTGAGTGTGCTGATTTGTTATTTCCAGGGATCGGCGAACTAGTTGGCGCCAGCGTCCGTGAGAATGTTGCTTCTCGTTTACAAACACGCATGAAATCCAATCAATCGCAGTGGTACATTAATTTACGTGGTACTGGTAGTGCTCCCCATGCTGGTTTTGGTCTTGGCTTCGAGCGTCTTATGCAATTTGTTTTGGGAATAGCTAACATTCGAGATGCAATAGCATTCCCAAGAAATGCCAATAAAATTATTTTCTAAAAAAGTCTTTTACTTTGAAAGCTACATATTGATGAATGTTAGGCGTTAAAGTCGCTTCCAGTTCCATATTCAGTTAAACCAGACGATTATTATTCACTATTGTCAGACAAAGTTCAAGTCATTTTTCTATGTATAATAATATTGTGCCTAAATTTTGCTAGGTACTTCAACCGAACGCATCGAGCCGATTATTTAGTTCCAAAGAGGTAAGTATAATTTAACTCATATCCGAGACATTGTGGGAGTTTCGGTGCTGCAATTCATCATAAGGAGAAAACACAGATGTGTTTTTAATCAGTTTGTCCCAAACCTTATGCTCTTATTTATTCAAAGCTACAATACTCAAATGTTTTGACGTAGAATGTCCGTTTAATTTTATAGGATACTATATAAAAGTACGCTTTATCAATAGGATTTGAACTATAGTAACCACCTAGGTTAATATTTATCACTATTAAAGAATTGGGTCCACTCGAAACCCTAAAACCTCAGTGAAGTGTGTTTTTAAATCTTTTATGGAATGTGTGGCACTTCAGCGTTGTCAATGTTTCGTTCCTGGGTAGAAATTTTAAAACCAGAACTTTCATTCGATTGCGCTCATCAGCCCAACACTTCAAATATTATAGTTAGTTATTAAAAGGTAAACAATTATTGGTGCAAAGAACGTTTTGAAGTATGATGCTGTGTTTACATTTTGGATATCCAAGTAACTAAGATACAAAACTTTCTGCTGGGTCACAGGTCAAGTCATATCGGTCAGCTTTGGTTCGAACGACCCTCATAAAAACAGTGTAACATAAAACTGAGTACATAAACATCTACTAGGTACATAAATGATATGACAACTAGCACTTAGTGGCTAGTCGTCATTTATCTTAAATAAATACAATGCACAGCTCCATTACGACCGAATAGACACTCAAGATATTAAACGTTAAGGCTGCGCTCCTTACTTTCAAGCCATGTCATTCTGACCTGATAATATCTAAGCCTGGTTTTGTTACTCAGAAGCTGACTCCCATAACTTCCATGACAAACTCAGTCGCATAATTCCTCGCAGTAGTGATCGTACTACCGCGCTGTTTAACAGGTACGCTACACATAATATATTTGTAGTGAAGGGGAACACAGGTGAGGATAACCGAATTATATTTAGCACAACATTACAGAGTTACTTGGTAAAATAGAGAAACCATACTATAATACCTAAATTGCAAAATGTTCAATGGTTGTCTCGGACTTCATTGTTCTTGCATTTATATACTAATTGCTTTCTATTACCGTTCTTCATTTCTTGATCTTCCCAACCTTCTGCTGCCAGATATTACATTCCTAACTCGCGTTATCTACTACTTATGTCAATATAAGTAGCACGAACCTAGTCGCATAATTTCTCACAGCAGCGACCGTACTACCGCGCTGTTTAGCAGGTACGCTACACTTAATATATTTACTAGTGAGATTTCTGAAGCTCACAGTAGCTTGAAAAGGGCTATGCCGAATGCGGAGACCTGACCAGTCGACAAAGCAAAGATGAATAGTGGCTAACAGCGCGGGTTTCGTCCCATTTGGAACTCGTCAGTTGGCTTTACCTGCATCCCAGAGTTGATGTTCACTCCGGGACTCGAGCCCAGTACTGTTCACCTCCAACGCCATCGCATTATCCACTTAGCTACTGATTCCTGATAACTACCTGCTTGTGCAATGGGGTGAAGTTTGAATTCGCTTGGTGTTGTTTTACTTGTATCTTCCCATTATTATTTAGGACTGCAATTGATCAATCTCACGTCGGTATATGTGCACCCTGTGCGGATTGCCTCGATATAGCCAATACACTATGAACTCAACTCTGAGATGCAGACACATCTAGTTGACGAGTTCCAAAAAGGACGAATCGTGCATCCTGGATTCCAATGTTAGCCACCATCCATTTTTTCTTAAAAAGCTTGTGACTTAAGGCAATATCGAGGCAATCCGCACAGGACGCACATATGCCAACATGAGACTGATCAATTGCAATCCTAAATAACAATGGGAAGATATAAGTAAAAGAACACCAATCGGCAAAGTTTATAACAGCTACTCCACAATAGACGGTTGCAACACAACAGCGATGTTGCCACGTATGAGAGAGCTCATTAGCCAAGAAAAGTTTGACAAGGACTTCTTTAGATAACTTCTTACCAAAGCTTTCTCAGCAGACGTAAACGTTCTCGTTTCATTCCGAAGTAACGCTGTAGACGAAATGGCTTCATCTGAAAATCGTATTGTAGAGATCATTAGATGACCGCAGCATTAATGTTTATTTTGTCCAAGAAAAGCTTAAGACGATATAAAAGTATAGCAAATCTCCGCAATACTGTAACTTATTATTGCGATATTCTTTATAATCACACGCTCCAAATCTCTTCAAAGACGTCCGTCGCAAAACAAACGAATCGTTGAGAACGTCGAAAAAGCAGCATGTCATCTTACTAAGTGACTGGAAATTATATTCCTAAATTACAATACGGTTTCTTAACGTATTGGTCGTGCATGATGTGGCACTTTGAGTTCACATGAAGGTCGTATACTCAAGAAGCGTATAACTCTGCTTACTGTATGCATCATAAATTAAACAAGGCTGCAGTATGGTGTGGAAAGTACCGACGACAATTTAATATTGATAAATGCAGCTGGATTAACGTCGGATGGAGCCATATGGGACCTCGTTATGAAGTTGATGGTAAGCCAGTTTACAAATGTGTTACTATCTTAGACCTTGACTCAAGGTACTCAAACGACCTAAATTCCTAGGAACGAAAAACATCAATTGGCTTAGAGGCATGTAAACATATGGGCTATATAAATCACGATATCCACTAGTCTAGGCCAACGCTGTATTAAGTCTTTGTCCGCCCAATGCTCGAATATTGTCCGTTTTTACTGAATGGTCTTCGTATAAGCTGGAAACTACAGAGGTTCTTCTCAAAAACGACTTTAGTAATGAATTACGATCAGAGTTACTTTGCACAGTGTGACACATTAGGACTGGAGACTTTTCGAAAAAGACGGTTAAGCTTATTATTTATATTTTAATCCAAGCTCGCCCACTAATCGCCACAACCTTCAAAAACAATCATAGGCTAACCGATACGCTCAACTATAAACTAAGTAACCATACTAGGTTAGTCAAAAATCAGCAATGTAGATCTAATGTATTGTGGAAACTTCCCACATAAGTTTTCTATCATTTGGAATAAACTCAGTTGGATTATGAGTATACATACAGTAAGCCACTTTATTCATAATTTTAACTTATAGAGGAAACCAAGTTAATTGGTTAGCTAGTAGTGCACTCGAATTCTAGCGCTCACGTGATGTGCAAAATAACCCTAGAAAACTTTGACACATTAATTCAGTGCCACTAATCACCTCTTTAAAAGAGTTTTAAGTAACTGATTCATACTTCGCCCAAAAACCATATGAATAAGCACCATACCTATGATTAAGATATCAATACCAAAACGTCAGGCTTAGCAAGTAAATATATACTTCATAAACAAAAAGTCAGAGGGGCATGAAAAAAATATATGTTCTAAATTTAAAATATGGGAATATTTCAAATTTTAAAAGTATATTTCATGGGGTATACCAAAATACTTTGGCTATGTTCGTACTGCTTTATACAATAACCTTGAGTTTTGGGGAGACTACAAGCTGTATGTTACGTTTAATGATCCCGGTCTCCCAAGTCTAAAAGAATTTTGAAAAGTTTCCAAATGTCTATGCTTCGTCAGCAACACTCCTGACCCTTTGTACCGGTTATTCCTGCAGAAATCATAGATATTAGCACCAACTTTGCCCATCGCAACTACGGACCACGTGTCAGCAGTGATCCTGTCAAATCCATGCAAGTAACTGAACTTAAAAAGCCATGTACATAATATCACGTTTGACAAATGAGTACACGATCTAAATTACATATCCAGAACACGACTCAAAAATACTCATTACTTCATTCCCTCGGTAGAAATCCTTTATACAACTAAGGCTGTTATAGCAGCTGCCTGGGGCTTGGCAGAAACATAAACTGTTTTCTGTTTTATGAATTGTATAACATTTGAATTATATATTACCAAAATTTCATTTTTCCAACACAGCGCCCACATGACGCTCAATCTCTTACGCTATACACTTCAGTCCTATTTCAACAATATCTGTGTATCACCATTTATATACAGCATGAGGAAAAATAGAGAATAGCATATCAGCTCATCGCTCACAAATAATCGCGGCTGAAATATTTTACGACCGAAACATTTGGCAAAAAACCAAACGAAATACATTGTTACCGTGTGTAGGTTTGACATACCGTGATTCTATGTGAGTTAACGTTACGTACATAGTCCACCACCTCGATCGTATTAACGAGGCTGTGAGCATAGATCACTTATTAGTTACACATCTTGTGGTCAGTGAAGATGGTATACATTGTGTTACGACCTATTTTAATGTTTGGCTAATGTCAGGGGCGGTGAGCATGTTTTGTTATGAATACGGTTTGCGACTGAATAGTTCACAGATTTCTTGCTGTCTGATATTTTACCAAATAAAAAAGGAACATCAGTGAACATAATTATACCAGGGTAGCCGTTGAGTACAAAACGTTTACAAGGTCCTCTTACTTATTCTGTTGCATGATTTTGAGTGTGGAAATCAAGATGGTGCCTTAGGGCTGTTAAAGCTGATAGACAACTGATTATCCATTTCATGTTGCAAAAACGTTACTGGATAAGGTTGGTTTTGTCCGTGAACGACGACTGTTGGCATAACTGACCCACTAGTAATTGACCCCTACTTGGTTGAATTAAAATTTTATTTACTGGAGCCATACAATAAGCAGTACGCATTGTGTGTCACCCTATATGACTTTTTAATAACCTGTCTGTTGATGAGAATTTTTTATTCCTGGTGTCCCCAGAAAATAGCCGTTTACAGTTTGATGTTGTTTCTAAAAC